ACAAGCCCTTTAGCAATAAGCCGTCTCTCGTCCTGTTGATATGATGTAAAGATAACACAAAGCCAACTGGGAAGCGTGCATAGTGGTAGTGCACGCTTACCGTCTCATCATCCAGCAGGCTGAGCCACGAGAGGTGTGAATTCGTTTGTTTATTTTTGTTTTTCAAACAAATTTTCTTTGTGTAGCCATGGTTGTCCTAGAACTAGCTCTGTAGATCAGTCTGGCCTTGAACTCACAGAGATCCACCTGCCTCTGCCAGGGATTACAGGCCTGGGGCTTGCCTCCTCCCCTCCTGCCAGCAAGGGATGTGAATCTGAAGACATCCCGGGTTACATAGTGGGACACAGTAGCAAAACCAAACCAAACAAACAAGGGAAGGAAATACAGGAAGGGAAAAGGAGCTTGACAAAAATGAAGTTTGGAGCAATAGGAGAGGTCTAGAAGGCACCTGGGGAGTGCCTGGTTCAGGATTCTTAAACAGGACTCTGAGCACAGAGGAGGCAGGCACTGTGTGTGAGCAAGGGGCCATCGACAGCAGAGTGAGGACGGGGCTGTGAGTCTTTTCCAACAGCACACTGTGCTATTTTCTCTAGGGTAAGTTTAGGCAAATGGATTTTATTTCTGCTATGTGTTCAGTCATAGATGACCTCAGTTGTAAGACTAATTAATGACCCTGCAAATCCCACAAGGTCCTCTGAAAATCACAAACCAGCAAGGAGCATTACAATACAGGAACGGTTCAATTCCATGTGCCCTTGCAACTGCTCAAGAGGACTCTGGGGCCCAGAGATAAATAACTCACTGTATGTACTAATCGAGACGGGAATAAAGAGCAGAAAGGGCCTCCTTTTTTATTTTTCACATCAGTATTCAGGCCTAACCTCAACTCAGCATCGAGCAACCTTTTGGCAGAAGAGGCGCAGCTGAGATGAGGCACAGTTAAAGCCTGGGTTAGGGCCATGACGCAAGGCAGGGTGTGGGGGTGTCAGAGTGTGTTTGTACCCAGAAGCAGCTCTCTACTGACTTCCTTTTAAAAACTGACTTTATTCTATTATTTATGTGTGTGTGTGTGTGTGTGTGTGTGTGTGTGTGTGTGTGTGTGTGGAGAGAGAGAGAGAGAGAGAAGAGAGAGGAGAGAGAGAGAGAGGAGAGAGAGCTAGCCAGCCAGCCAGCCAGCCGGCCCACAGAGACCAGAAGAGCTCATCAGAGTCGTGGAGCTAGAATGATAGATAGGTGGTTGGGAACTGAACTTGAGTCCTCTATACAAGCAGCCACTGCTCTCCCCAGCTGGGCCATCTCTCCAGGCCCTTTGTTAACTTCTGCCGAAGTGATCAGGCCTCTAGCTACAGCATGGCTCCAATTTCAGAATCCAGGTGCCAGGGCTAACCCTACCCACATAAACCGGAACTGTACATGGGAACCATTCAAGGACCACATTGCTCTCCATTCCTCCTCGAAGCCTCCACAAGGCTGGGCTGTGGATAGCCTATCACTCACTCATCTTTGCATGGGGTCTGAGAAATGAAACTAAAAGATGGGCTTCCCCCTGACAGCTAAAAGCAGATGTGAACACTGGCCAAACAGCTCCCGGTCCTTAGAAAGAGCCTGGGGTTGGAGCTGATTCTGCTAACGCTCCATTCGAGACAGGGTCTTACTCCGTAGCCCACACTGGCCTTGAATTCACAACCCCCTTGCCTCTACTTCCTGAACGCTGGGGTGGCAGGTGTGCCCCTACCCTCCACCAGCTAACATCGTTTTAGAAAAGAGAAAATTGGAGGAAAACCGACATGATATAGGGCTTAAATGACAACATCAAAACTCTCATGGCTATTAGACACTCCCCCAGTCCTCAGCCTGAGCAAGGCTACAACAACACGGAACTGTGTTCCCATGAGTCAGCTTTGGATTCCAGGGGCTTGGTCAAATCTGTAGACAGAACTGTAACTGAGAAGTCTAAGGCTGCTCCCAGACACAGATCTTAATCACTCCATATCCTCTCAGATGGCACAGTGTAGGGAGGTGAACAGCGCGAGCGCCTGGGAAACATGCCCTAATGAAACTGGAGCTGGCATGTGAGGGCATCACTCTGCCACTTCCGATGGAGAGAATGAGATCTGCACCCTGGACCTGCCAGGGTCGGGATTTCAGAACACTGACTGCTGCAGTCAGGCCCAGCTGGTGTCTGAGTCGTACAACCTCCCAGGGAGTTTTCCAAGACATTTTTGACTCCAGCTAGAGCCAGTCAGGCAGACAGCCGAGGGCAAGCACTGACTAGAAGTCTTGATGCAGGCTGCATGTGGAAGAAGTATTAGGGAAGATGAGCAATGAGACAGAAACAAGGTCATGTCCAGGTCTCAGGAAGCTTGCAGTGAGCAGGGGCTGGTATTTAATGAGGGCTGGCTGTGTGCCAGACATGCGGCTTACTTATGGGCACTGCCTTTGATTTTTACTATTTTTATTTAATTTTATTTTGAGACAATGTCTAGCTGTGTAGGCCAGACTGGCCGCAAACTTACAATCTTCCTATCTCAGCTTCCCGAGTGCTAGGATTACTGGTGTGTGCCACCACACACGGCCCTCTGTTTTGTTTAATCCTAACAGCTACTTCATGAGGTAGCACCAAGCATTCCTATTTCAAGACAAGGAAATGGAGGTCCTGCAGAGTAACTTGTCTATGGACAAACAGATGCAATGCTGCGGGCACAGGATCCAGCCTCTGCCCCTGTCATTCCAGAGCTCAGCACAAGTGCTCACACCATCCTCACTCGCTAATAGAGAGGACAAAATCATACTGCATTTAGACTCAAGAGACATTGCTATTCACTGATGTTCCTGTTTGCCTCTGACACTTCATGAGTGACTGCAGTGTACGCTAGTATATGCTAACTGACCATCTCACTAAGGGGAGCAGGGACTGGGGGCAGGGGTGATGTCAGCATAGCCAGGGAGCCTTGAGGACAGGGAACTGAGCGGGGAAAGTGTTGAGCCTCTACTACATTGCCTCATACGATACAGAGCAGGATCTATGGAAATGAATTCATAATCATAATTCATAATCTTCCTACAAGTTGTCTAAGTGTTTACAGACCAGTTTAATGGATACGAGTTGCTTTTGATTTGCCTGTGAATAATTTACACCTTAAGTGTTATTTTCAGAGATTGGAGGAATGAATAATTTTTTTTATCTTATATGTGCCTGTGTGTGTGTGTGTGTAAGTATATATGTGAGAAGGCCAAGATTGAAACTGGGTGTCTTCCTCAATTGCTCTCCACTTTATTTTTGAGACAAGGTCTCTTACTGAACTTGGGACATGCCAATTCAGCTAGACTCACTGGCCAGCAAACCGTAGGGGTCCTCTTGATTCCAACTCCTCACTGCTAGGATAATAGGAACAGACTACCACTCTTGTTTGTTTTTTAAATTTGCTTTTATTTATTTATTTATTTATTTATTTATTTATTTATTTATTTATTTATTTATGTGTGTCTGCTTGTCTATATGCATGCCGTGTGTCGGTGTGTGCAGCGTCTGTAGAGGACAGAGATGGTATCAGACCCCCCTGGAACTGGAGTTATAGATGGTTGTAAACTGCCCAGTCTGGGTTCTGGGACCAGAATCCAGGTTTTTTGTAAGAGTAGGAAATGATCTTAACCACTGAGTCATCTCTCTATCCCCTTACTCTTGATTTTATGTGGGATCAAACTCAAGACCCACATCCTTGTATGGTGTGCTAATTGGTTTTTGTTGACTTGACACAGTAGTTACTGGATGAGGGGCCCTCAACTGAGGAATCGACTCCATCAGACTGGCCTGTGGGTATGTTTTGGGGGAATTTTCTTGATTACTGATTGATGTGGGAGGGTCCAGACCATTGTGAGTGGGGCTATTTCTGGACTGGTGGTCCTGGGTTGTGTAAGAAAGCAGGCTGAGCAAGCCATGGAGAGTGAGCCAGTCAGCAGCACTCCTCCGTGGCCTCTGCTTCAGTTCCTGCCTTGAATTCCTGCCCTGCCTTCCCTTGATGATGAACTGTGACCTGTCAAATAAACCTTTTCTTTCTCAAGTTGCTTTTGGTCAGTGGTTACCTCAGAGCAATCTCTCTAATCCCTGTTTTTATTTTCAAAATCAATCAAAGTGTTCCCTGAACTCACAATGCCCAGTCCAGAAAGTCTGAATTGGTGGGAAATGAAAAGAAGTCACCTTGCTGTAGTATACAATTCAGTTCATCAGGATTAAGGCGACATGAACTAAGTAAGTCTTTGTTTCCTTAGGACAGGGTCTCACTATATATTGTACATTGATTGGCCTAGAGTTCAAAATCCTAGTGTTTTAGCCTTCTAAGTGCTGGGATTACAGGCATGTGCCACCATGCTCCAGCAGAGAATTCAGCTGAGGAGAAGAGCCCCACCTTCCTGGGGAGGTGAGTTCAGGCTCTCCCTGCTCTCTGAGGTGGCCTCTGCCCAGTCACACTCAAAGTTCTGCTGGACTCAGAACACTGCCCCTTGACCTTCCCGTACCAGCCCTCAGAGAAATCCAAAGCTTTGGCCAGGTGGTGGTGGCACAGGCCTTTTATCCCAGCACTTAGGAGGCAGAGCCAGGCGGATCCCTATGATTTGGAGGCCAGCCTGGTCTACAGAGCGAGATCCAGGACAGGCACCAAAACTACAATGAGAAACCCTGTCTCGAAAAACAAACAAACAAAAAACAACCTCAAAAAAAAAAAAAAAAATCCAAAGCCTTCACTCTGGTTCCCTACGACAGTTTCCCCTAACTTGTTTTGACTGAGGTTGTGATTATCTAATTGATCTGAATCCCGTCTGGGATACAATATGAGAACCTATCTTAAAAATCAAAACAAGGAAGCAAAGAGTGGCCAGGCAACCTTGTTTCTGTCTTTCAGGGAAAACAGTCACGGTCTCTTCAGACTGGATCTACCCAAGCCCGTGTGTTGGGTCCATGACAAACCCGAGGAGGGTGAAGGCCCACCGGAAGCTCACCTTACCTGCTCTGCTCCCACCATGCTGATTGGCTTGCATTTGAAGAGATGGGTGATGAATTTGGGAATGAATGAGCTGTGGATATAAAAGTGACAAGTTATGCTTATTCTCCTTGGAGTAGAGCTGCAGAAACTTTTATTTATTTTTGGTTTTTCAAGACAGGGTTTCTCTGTGTAGCCCCAGAACTCTCTCTGTAGACCAGGCTGGCCTCAAACTCACGGAAACCTGCCTGCCTCTGCCTCCCGAGTGCTGGAATTAAAGGCGTGCACCACCGCCTCCTGGCGCGGCAGAAACTCTTTAAGGCTCTACTCCTTTTCAGGAGAGAACAGAATCCAGGTGGACACCAGCGCCCCCTACACCCCAGGTACCTCCTACTCTGCTTCTAACTTTAGCTTCAGTTCTTCAAGGGAAGAACAGCCTTGGGATTCTGCGGAAAGCTCATGCCATCTTAAACTAGAGTGGTGAATTATTTTGTTTGTGGTGCTGGGGATAGAACCCAGGTTGCAAGAACCCTACCACTGAGCCACACTCCATTCCTACAGAGGTCAATACCACTGAGCTTCAGCCAGTTCCACCGGTGACTGTTTCGGGTCCTAAGAGAGGGAATTACTCTATGCCAGTCTAATCGCTTGGAGGAGGGACCTCATGGCAGGGCTGCTGTGAGACTCTTCCTGCTTAGGGCGCTGTTGAGTTAGATAAAACACCTATACCTGTCATTCTATCATCGTTCTGAGGATGTGGCCAGTCTCAAAGATAGAATATCCCAAGTCTTCTTGAAACCATTGAAACCCTAAAGCAATTGATTATTTTTAAAAAGGTTTGTATATTTTTATTTTAGTGTATGTGTCTCTGTGTGTGCATGCAACCATGCGTGCAGGTGCCATGGAGGCTAGAAGAGGACATCGGATGCCTTGGGGCTGGAATTACAGGCGTGAGTGCTAAGAACTGAACTCTGGACCTCTGCAGAGCAGCATATGCTCTTAACTAAGCCATCTCTCCAGCCTAAATCAACCACTCTCAAGTGCCAACTTCCTCTAGACTTGAAGTTATATGAAATTTTTAAAATCCATTTTGTGTCAGGTGTGGTGGCATAAGCCTTTAATCCTAGTACTCAGGAAACAGAGGCAGGCAGATCTCTTGTGAGTTCAAAGTCAGCCTGGTCTACATAATGAGTTCTAGGACCTCCAGAGCTACACAGTGCAACCCTGTCTCAAAACAAACAAACAAACACCAAAACAAAACAAAAAAAATCCACCTTGCCATTCAAGTCCATTTGAGTACCAGTAACTGAAAATATCTGAACAGTGGCAAGAGCTGAAGCTACATGGACAGTTGGGGTATCTTAAAGCAAAACCAAGAAATAAATTGCTAAGGCAGCAATTCTCTTACCAAGAACCAAACAATTACACAATTTTCTAAAAATCTGCTGAGCACTGAGTGACAGCCTAGGTGAGGTGGACTGGAATGCTGTTTAGGGTGAAGAACAATGACAGTCCAGTAATCTGGGCCTGCGTCAAGGAGGTTGGATTGTGCTGCTGTAGTTCAAAAGCTGCAGAATTAGACATGTGCAGAACCAAGAAAGATCCAGAGTGTTCTGAGCAGGAGGCGCCCTAGAGCCCAGGACCACAGAGGAAGGATGGAAAGGGGCAGGGTGTCCACCAAGGCTGGCTGCCACATGTCTCCTCCCTCTTCCATGCTTCATCCTGGTCTGTGTCCTTCTTCAATCTCTCCACATCTCCTCCTGCACACTGCAATCACATTGACAGCAAAGGACTTCTGGGACAATTTCATGGAATAGAGGTGTACCAGTTTAGTGGGTGAGAGAAGTCATCTGTGATCCAAACTACAGTTTCAACCAAGAGTGACCTTGGTAAGTCATTATGTTGGAGGCAATGCAGCCACAGATGGACTAGCAATTGTGGTGGCAGGAAAGGAGGAAATGGAAGAAGACCTGAAGTTCAGATGTCAGGTACAGGAGAGGGAGGGTAGCAGGAATCTTAGATTCCTTATTAATAAAATCTTATTAATAAAATCAAACCTGGAGCCAGGTACTGGGGTTAATGCTGGACGATCAGAGAGACAGAACAGGCCACAGCTACCTCATCTTGCCAGTTCCTCAGCTGGTCTTGTTTCCTCAGACTGGAAGCTTCTGTGTCCTCATCCCAATGGCTCTCAGCTGAACTGTGCTGCTAGAAGCCTGAAAGCTTAACCAGCCAAATGCTTAACCAGGCCAAATGATTCTAGTTCCTGGTCCTCACGCCTTGTATATCTTTCTGCCTTCTACCATCACTCCCTGGGATTAAAGGCTTGCTTTCTGGGATTAAAGGCATGTGTCACCATGCTCGGCTATATCCTTGAACACATAGATTTCTGCCTCTGGAATGCTAGGATTAAAGATGTGAGTGCTACCATTTTCTAGCCTTTGTATCTGGTGGCTGTTCTGTCTCTGACCCCAGGTAAGTTTATTAGGGTGCACAATATTTTGGGGAGTATAATACCACCACAAGGGAGTGTGAACAAAAGGCTGTCTGGAAGGGGTTCTTGGCACTTAACCTGAGCCAAACAAGTAATGTAAAGCTAAACTTGGGACTCATCACACCTGCACAAACAGCCTGTAATGGAAGCTGTTGCACACTAGAGTATGCTGTGGCTGTGCCCTTGAACTTGCCCTGACTAGTCCATGTTGGCTGAGCAGGAGAAACATATCCAGGCACACATCTTTGGAGAAGAAATTGCAGCAATGATGTGTCATTCCAGGATGGAAATGGTGGCTACTGCTCTGGGCTGAGATTTTATAAGGATGGGAGGGTACCAAGAGTTAATGCACAAAACTTTCTAGGTCTTTGGTTAAACTTTTCCAGATATGGGGGATGGGCACTCTATTCCCAGGTCACTCAGAATGAGCTTAGTAATAAACTTAAAAGGCGATGAGAGAATGCAAGGTTGACACTTGGATGGGCTGAGCAATGGACTCCTTATTCACTTTAACCTTAGCTCAATCGGACCCCTGGGTGCCCACAATGGAGATTTTGAGTCACAGTAGATTTTTACAGAGACACTTGTAGCAGTGGTTACAGGGAATGTCATATGTGATTTATCAGCAGTGCTTTTAGTGCACATTAATGAGCACCCAGAGAGAGAAGGGAATGTCAGCTCCTGGTCCATCTGTGGCCTGCAAACAGAAACGCTCCCTGGGGAGTCAGCCCAAGCCTTCCTGATGAGGCTGGAACTCAAGTTAACTCTACAGCTACTCTGTCACTGCTGTTCCTGGGGTTTATTTATGTCAGATGGGGAGAATCTAATCGAATACAAACTGAGAGAGATCTGAGGGAAAGAAACGCAGAAGCCCGAGTTACCAGTTGGGACCTGGATGAGAACAATCCAAATACGGTAGCTTGGACAGCACTGACCTTCCTGGAGCAACTTGCCAAACTGTGCGTCTGATAATTGGTCAGAGGAGACACTGGCCCTCATCACTGCCTGGCCTCTTGGGAAACAGTGCCGGAGCCAGATGTTGACTGGCAAAGAACCAAACTACTTCCTTGCTTCAAAATTCAAGGCAGAAATGGCCACACACGAGGACATAACCAGAAGGCAGGCAACTTGGTGCTTGCTCCCTCCACTTCGGCACTGGAGCTCGACAATTTGCTGGTCCTAATTTCTAGTACTTTGCCTGGACATAAAGACATCCGTAAGTGGATGATTTCTGGAGCTACAGTAACAAGTCCTATGGAGGAGGAGGAAGCAAAGGCTCGAAGGCACAAACGATGGGTCCAACTCTTGAGAAACTTGTAATCTAGTCAGGGATAAAATGCACACATGAGCGTGCTGAAAAATAAAAACCTGAGCAAGGAGTGGTTTCATGTGCAAAACTCAGAACAGCAAGATACCCCAAATCATCCCACGGCTGATGACTGCTCTGTAAGCATGCACATGACCTGAACTGGCCCATTTGTTTTTACCATTATGGCCCTTTGGAGTACAGAAGAATATTGGTTTTCCTGGAGGTCCCAGAAGGAGCCCAACTAGAAGATGGGACACCTGGATTGCGAGCATTCTGGGTGGTTAAGTACAGCAGTAAAATAACTCCACTGAGTATGACACCAGAGCCACCATAGCTCTCTCCCGACCCAGAGAGCTACACCTGGAGAGCAATCCTGGAGCCAACCATCAGTGTGGTTGTGAACCGCACAATTCTTGTGAGGGACATGGCCGCCAGCAGATGGGTACATGGGCATCCCTGCTCATTTATCCTGGGAGATAGAAACAGAAAGTGCATCAAGAAACAACTCGGGACTTACTTTGCAAATTTAATGCAGAACTGTGTGAAGTATTTCCGTGTGGAAGCCAGGTTGTCACGGATGATGGGAACATTCTGCTTAATGTGAAGAATAACGGAAGTGACATAAGGGCTCTGGTCACCAACGTGCTCCACATTCTGCCACGGCATCTGAAACAGAGACAGGACAGGACCAGGCTTTAGAGATGCTACAGGGAAACAGTGTTGTCTATTACTGGGAAGGGGTGTGGGGGGTGGAGACTAGGTCACTACTCGGTACCACAGGGATTGGCCTCTGCCAACGTGCCCGTTCTGTGACACAGGCGGCTGCTTCCGAGTGAAAACGAGCTGCCACCTCACCAGTGGCACGGCGTGCAGGCTCTGTCCCTTTTCCTGCTGTTCTCACCTAAGGCTTCCAGCAGCCTTCCCACCCAAGCAAATAGCTTGTGAGGGATTCTCACCACATCACTAGGCAGAGGAGTGAAAATCTGTCTAAACCCATAGAGCAGTGGTTCCCAACATGTGGGTCTCGACCCCTTTGGGGTTGAACGATCCTTTCACAGAGGTTGCATATCAGATATTTACATTATGATTCACAACAGTAGCAAAATTACAGTTATGAAGTAGCAACAAAAACAGTTTTAGCCTTGGGGTCACCACAACATAAGGTGTTAAAGGGTCACAGCAGTAGGAAGGTTGAGCAGCACTGCCATAGGGGACGCCATTACCAGGGGCTGAAGAACGGGGAGGGATGTTTACTTCCTGTTTACTTCCTGGTAGTCACAGCTTGAGAGACTGGAGAGATTTAGCAGCTGGGCTAAATGTGGTGAAACCCAGAAAAAAACTAGACGAGAATTAACTTACACACCCTTGTTCAAGTAAACTGGGAGGGGTTTGGGATTTTATTATTGTTATTTATTCGTTTCTTGAGACAGGGTCTTACTTTGTAGTCCAGGCTGGCCTAGAACTTACTATGTAGCTCAGGGTGGCTTTAAACTTATAATAATCTTCCCATCTCAGCCTCCTAAGTGCTAGGATGGCAGGCATGAGCCACTACATCTAGGTACAACCGCCCCTCCCCCCGCCCGCCCCACAAGTACACTGTGTATTTTCACGTCATGGCTGATGTGACCTTTGACTGGTTAAGAAGAACAAAAATGAGCTGTGTGGTGGTGGCTCTTGCCTCTAATCCCAGAACTTGGGAGGCAAATGTATCTCTGTGAGCTCAAGGCCAGCCTTGTCTACAGAGCAAGTTCCAGGACAGCCAAGGCTACACAGAGAAATCCTGTCTCAAACAAAACAAAATAAAATGATAACAAAAACAAAACAAAACAAAACCCCCCAAACAAACAAATAACAAACAAATAAAATGGAGCTCAAGCTTGTGCACCAATGGCAGACGCAGGGGCATGCCCTTGAAGCCAGGAAGAATTCACAGTGTAGGGACTCTGTTTTGGGGTACACAAGAGGGCTGCTCTCGGTTTATGTCACCCGGCAGGTACTCATTCCTGACCCTGTCTTGGAGGAACCCCATGAGCTGGCCTCTCACAGTCAGACAGGGTTGCCTGTTCAACCCTCTTAAGCCAAACACAACCCTTACACTCCATTCGGAGGGAAGGTCAGCAGCCCTAAGGACTTTGTGTCTCTGGCAAGAAAACACTTAGTTTTATTGAAGTGAACCTAGGTTCTCTTCAAGAGCAACAAGTTCTCTTAATCTCTGAGCCAGCTCTCTAGCCCCCACCTTCATTTTACAGATACGTGAAGAGCCTCTTGCAAAGCTTCCAATGAGGTCTGAAGCTGGGCATGGTGGCGTGTGCCTGTGATCTAGCATCTGTAGGCTGAGGAAGGAGGCGTGTGTGCTTGGGGCCAGCCTGGACCATATAAGCGACACTCAGGCTCTACCAAAACAAACAAACAAACAAAACCCAAGTAAACAAACACTGGCTCCAGAAAGAGAAGGGGAATTCTGTCAGCAAGACAGTTCAGGAAGTACAGGTACTTGTTGCTAAGCCTGGTTCCCGAGCTTGAAACCTGGGATTTACATGGTGGAAGGAAAAAAAACCGGACTATTGCCACTTGTCCTCTGAACTCCACACATGCCCACGGCGCACGTGTGTATACACACGTACAAAATTAATACATTTGTAAAGGTCTCTAAAAAAGGCAAGAAAGAAAAAGGAAATCTTATTTATAGATCTGTTGGTTGACTGATTGATTGAGACAGAGCTGCTTCGTGTTTTCCAGGCTGGTCTCATGGCTTCTGAGCTTGAGAGATCTTCCCATCTCAGCCTCTCCAGCAGCTGACACTACAGCCTTGTTTGGTAGTAAAAGAAAAAAAAATTGTCTGAGACAAAACAGAAACAATGGAGAGACAGTTAAAGCCCCATCAGGAGCTGCTATTCAGTGAGCTATGTGCAATGTTTTCCTCATTAGCTGTCACCTTATTTGAGAGGTGTGTCTTCTATCCCATTTTAAAGAGCGGATCCTTCCAAACAATGAGCATCCTGACCCATTCCCAGTGAACTCATAGGGTGAGGCCCAGACAGACAGGTGTTAGGTCCACCCTTCACCCCCGCACCCCACACACAGCAAGGCTTACAACACAGGGACCTGGGCAAGGGCACACATGGGGAACACACATGGGGAACTGGGCAGAGCGTCATGTTCCACCTCCAATCAACATACAAAGGACTGGTGCCTTCCAAGGTGGCAGCACTGGATAGTTCAAGATCTCAGTGCAGTTTATAAACAATGGTCTAAAGATGACAGCTCCCCACTCACAGGAGACAGTCATAAAGAGAAGTGGTGACATGTTCTGTCACCGGTTATAAAGCAACTCTGATGCAAGGCAGATTGTGGCGGCGTGCTTGCTTCAAGTTCTTGCTAGTTAGCTGTATGGAAATCACGCCGAGGTTCACATGCGTCATATATGTGGAAAGATCCCACCTGCTTTAAGGTTTAGCCAGGTACAGCCAAACCGAAAGAAGTATTAGCAAGTATTCATGATTTTAAACTTTAGTTAGCTTAATGAAGAAAATAATTTAAAGTACTGCGAGTGTGTGAGTGTGAGTGTGTGTGTGTGTGTGTGTGTGTGTGTGTGTGTGTGTGTGTGTGTAATGCTTTGCCTGGTGTCATTTCACGTATTCGTTGTGTGTGATGTCACTGAGTTGTGACAGTCTTACAGAACGGGAAACTCAAGTGACACACTGAGACAGGCAGGCTTATGGAGAGCCCAAGCACCACACAAGTGCGCAGGACATTTGTGAGGAAGAGACAAGGAGCTGGTGGGTGCGTATAGCTGTCCGGGAAATCTCAGCAAAGGGCATGAATGTTGTACTAGAGTGAGCTGAGCTAAATTCTGGCATTCAGCATTTAGAAGTTACCCTGTTACAATGAGATTCTTCCTCTTGTGCTCTCTGTTTGGGGGTGGGGTGAACTGGGTTGAATACCATCTGCTACTATATAAATAATAAATAGTTGACAAAAACTTTGTACATCAGATGTAGTGTTGACAGAAAGAGCAAGCAGGAAAATGAAGAAAGTAATGACGGAGTGCCCAGGACGCGTGTTTAACCAGAGGTGACAGGGTGGAGCCCAGACCATCTGCGGAGTTCTGCTTCTGCTGTCCCATGGCAGGCTAGGAGATCCTCGCATTGTCACAGAGGGCCCCACTGCAGTCCCGCAGAGAGTTCACTGCAGACCTTTGCTCCTCTTCTGCACGAGGCTCCGAAAAAGGCTTCCTGACAACCTGACCCTCAACTGAAAACCTGCATCCACTGCCCCAAGTCAGACAGATATGGGGTACAGCCTCACGTTTGCACTCCAGCAGCTACAGTCTAGGGCTGTGGTTTGAGCTTCCGAGTCACGGGCACCAAGTCCTGGACTTCATACACACACCCGGGGACATGTGACTGGGTCACTCACTCCTGCAAGCCTCTGCATTATTTCTTTTCCCTTCCTTCCTTCCTTCCTTCCTTCCTTCCTTCCTTCCTTCCTTCCTTCCTTCCTTCCTTCCTTCCTTCCTTCCTTCCTTCCTCCCTCCCTC